TTCACCCCGACCACGTGTGTTCGTTCTTGGTACGAGTACCATAATTATATCTTTAGAAGTTTTTCTTGGAAGCAAAGTATCAGATAATTCGGTTGCCCTACCCATCCTGCCTCAAGGTAATGGACGGTGGTTTAATTCCGCCCCCTCTAAGCAGTTAGACCAGAATCAATAACTGGTTTATCCTAACTGGCTTCGTCGCTCCATCAGTAATTATGATGAGTACAGGAATATTAACCTGTTATCCATCGACTACGCCTTTCGGCCTCGCCTTAGGTCCCGACTAACCCCGGGTAGACGAACTTCACCCGGGAAACCTTGGTCATTCGGCCAGAAGGATTCTCACCTTCTATCGTTACTCACGCCGGCATTCTTACTAGTAAAAGCTCCATTAATCCTCACGGTTTAACTTCTTTAATTTTACGCTTTTACTACACTCCCCTACCGCTAGTTGGCAACAGAAAAATATTAATGCTTTTTATTTCTAGTTCTTTGATAACACTTGGAAAATAATCAATTCTTATTAATTATTAACTCATCATATTTGCCACAGTTTAAACATTTTCGTTCACAACAAGAATTATTTTTTCTATTATTCCACACCTTTCACAGCGACTTATCTCATAGCATTTCCTTCCTGGAAAGCATTCAACTATTTCCAATAATTCTAATTTATGACAACACTTATTCCTTTTTCTTATTCGAACAGATTTTCTTTAATTTTTAATTTTCGCATTAACAATTCTTTTATTACCAACTAGCCTATGGCTTCGGTATAGTATTTGAGCCCCCATACATTCTCGGCGCTACCATACTCGTACCACAAATGTGGCACTTCGACTAGTGAGCTATGACGCACTCTTTAAAGGATGGCTGCTTCCAAGCCAACCTCCTAGTTGTCTAAGTACAATAACTTCCTTCTACACTTAATACTATTTAGGGACCTTAGCCGATAATCTGGGCTGTTTCCCTCACGTCCATGGAGCTTATCCCCCACAGACTGACTACAAGATAATAAGATAATGGTATTCGGAGTTTAATTAGAGGTGGTACCCGGTTAAGGGCCCTTCTCTATTCAGTGCTCTACCCCCATTACTTTTGGTCTTGCGCTAGTCCTACAACTATATCGGGGAGAACCAGCTATCTCTAGGTTCGATTGCAATTTCAGCTCTAACCACAAGTCATCCGAGATCATTTCAACGAGCACCGGTTCGACCTTCCGTTCGGTTTTATCCTCACTTCAGTCTGCTCATGGTTAGCTCACCTAGTTTCGGGTCTATAATCATTGACTATACGCTCTATTAAAACTCGCTTTCGCTACGGCTTCATTTTTTAAAAAAATTTAACCTTGCCAATAATTATAACTCGCCGGCTCATTCTGCAAAAAGCACGCCATTAGGCTTTAATGCCCTTTGACTTCTTGTAAGTGTGATGGTTTCAAGTTCTATTTCACTCCCCTTCTGGGGTTCTTTTCACCTTTCCCTCACGGTACTAGTTCACTATCGGTGACTAATTAGTATTTAGCCTTACGGGGTGGCCCCCGTTTTGGATTACTCCATTCTTCCCACAAAATTTCACGTGTTTCGCGGTACTTTTCAAACCAGGAGAGTTATTTATTTAAAATACGAGGCTTTCACTTTCTTTGGCTTGACTTTCCAGCCAATTCTTCTATAAATAACTTTTGTAACTCCTTAATTGGTTTAGGCTGTTCCCATTTCGCTCGCCACTACTCCGGGAATCACTATTTGTTTTCTTTTCCTCCGGATACTAAGATGTTTCAATTCTCCGGGTTCGCTTCTAAGATTATTACAATCTTAGATATTACCACTTTACTGGTAATAGGTTGTCCCATTCGGAAATCTCTGGATCACGGCCTATTTTCCGGCTCCCCAAAGCTTATCGCAGGATATCACGTCCTTCTTCGCCTATTAGTCCCAAGACATCCACCATCCACTCTTAATAACTTATATTTTCGGCAAAATCTTTTTGCGTTCAGTTTTCAAAGAAAGAGAGATAAATATAACCTCTCAAAATTAAGCAAAAAAAATTCACTTATTTTTCAAAAGTATATTAATTTTGTTTTTGTTTTTTAGTTAGGAAAACAATTAACCTATATTTATTATTTTATTTGATTTAGAGGACAATGCCTTTCTTTTTCTTTCCAAAGTTTTCAATTATTATTTAACTTAGAACCAATTTCTAATTTTTACTGATAAATTAATTTTTCTTTATCATATATAAGTATAGTTTTATATTAATTCTTTTTCGAGTCCTTCCATTTTGAACTCTTTTTTATTTAAATAACAAAGTGGCGAAAGCAGTTCATTAAATATTATTTTATAGGCAAATAGATAAATTTTGTTGTTTGCTATTACCTTGCTATTATACTTTTCATCTCCGACAATTGGTAAACCAAAGTAAGATAAAATACTGCGGATTTGATGCTTCCTACCTGTATGCAAAGTAATTTCAAGTAGAAGTTTATCGCCTTTTTGGTTGATTTTTTTTATTTCCATTGCACAACTTTTTGTTTTTTCTCTTTCGTTTTTTAAAGAAAATTCCATTTTTTGTCCGAGGCTGTTTTTTCATAAATAGCCACTAACATAATTAGGTAAAATTTTAGCGGGGTTATTCTCGCAGATTGCTAAATATTTTTTAGTAATTTTGCTTTTGTCACCAATCGCTTTATACAATACCTTTTTAGCCAGAGGATTTTTGGGGTAAATAACTAGTCCTTTGGTTAGTCTATCTAGCCGATGAGCGGCAATCAAAACGAACAATTGCTTAATTTTCTGCTGATAATCAATAGGGTCCTTTTTTAAGAGATAATATCTTACGGCATTATCTAAACTTGGCATAGGTATCCCGTGCTCTTTTAAAACAATTAAAATATTTTGGTCTTCATAGATAATTTCGAAATATACCTTAGAATGAGAAGGTGGATAAACAACTAAATTAGATTGCTTTAAATAATTATCATAGATTTCAATTTTTTCACCAGCCTTCAAGCGATAGTGATAATAACGAACATTTTCTCCATCTACTTTTATTTTCTTAGTGCGAAATAACTTGTAAATTAAACTCAAAGAAGTAGTCTTGAATCTTTTTTTAAGAAAACTAATTAGAGTCTGGTCGGTTTCGACCTGATGAACAACAAAACTCAACATTGAATATGATTTTACCTTATAATCACCTATTTTAACCTAAGCAACCCATTCTATAAAACTAAATGAAGTTAACTTCTTTTTCTCACCCTAACTAATTTTTCGTCTCAAAAAATTAACAATAAAAAAAGTAGAAGTAATATATAAAAGCACCGACAACAAGATTAAAAACTTCTTAATGTCTTTATAGAAAAATTTCCCACACTTATCGCATTTAACCTCAATTTTATTTTTTTGTATCCTTCTCGGGGTCTAATATCATTCCATACTTATTAATCTTGGCTGAACCCTCTTTAACTGGTTTACCCTCATTATCTAATTTCCAAATCAGAGTATCCCGGTAAGGGTTCTTTCTTTGTCTATATCTATCTGGGAGTTTGGGTTGCTTGGTAAACAGCCTTTGTATAATCATTCCTAAAAACCCTCCAAGAAGTAGTGAAACAAACCCAAAGACAAAAATCGCATTCAGCATACTCCCAAATCCAGCCTTTAAGTAGGCATAAGTAAATAAAGGGATGGTAGCAAGAGTTGTCCCTGCTATAATCCAATATCCCATTCTTATATGATACTTCTTTAATCCCTCTAATTCCTCTTTATACTTTCCATAACAGAACCCACACTGTATTCATCCCTCTAATTCGGAATGATTTTTGCTACGGGCATGATATCCTCCACCCGCATAGCCTCCTCCATAAACTCCGCCTGCTCCTCCTGAATAAGAACTCTCACTATCTAGGGTTTGTAGTTTATGAATAGGTTCTCCATAATAGATAGGCACATGGCAAGTATGGCAAACCCCAAGCATGCTTTCATCAAAGTCCCGAGTTTGTTTGCGTGCTTTTTTAGCCAATTCTTCCTCTAACTTTTTCCGTTGGAGTTTTTCCCTTAATTCCTCTAAGGTTAATTCTCTTTCTGGGTTATCCTCTGTTTTTTTTTTTTTTTTTCAGTTTCTGTCATAATTTCCTCTAATAAAAATAAATGTATCCTTTTTTTCTATTCTTCTTCTTCAATTGTATTTTCTCCTTTTTGTTCAAGCAGTTTTTTTTCGCCTGCCAAGGTTTCTTGTTCGGCTTGCCTATCAGCAGCCAACGATATTCAAGCACTTTTTAATCTGTTTCGGGAAGCCTCTAATCTATTTTCTAATTCTCCCTTCTGTTTTTTAACTTTTTCTAGCAAAGAAGCAGAGTCAGTTTTTTCGGCCAATCCTATTTTTTGGAAAAGTCGACGAAAAAAACCAACTTTTTCCTTTTCTTCTCTAATTCTTTCGGGAGGAATCATTTCCAGTTCTAATTCTTTTTTTTCTAGTTTGTCAATTTTTTCTATCAAACTAGTTATTTCATCTTGAACTTTGCTAATCAAAAGTTGTCCGTATTCAATTTTTCCTCGATTTTCCTTTTTTTTTTCTTGACGAAATTTTTCATGTTTTTCATAGTCTTTACAGTAATCCAAAAAACATTTTCGAGAACAAAACTCGGCTCCTTTGACAATCTCAATCCCCAAAATTCTTTGTTCTTCCTCTTTCAATTTATAAGAAAAATTTTCCCCGATATTAACATTACAAAGATGACAGTATCCTAATTTGAGGCTTTTTTGTTGAAAAGGAATAAGAGTGGTCGACTTCGTTTCGTCAATTTGTCTCTGAATAGTTTCTATTTCGTTCAATAGAGCATCTCTTAATTTTTCCCATTCCTTTATCAGATTTTCTTTTTCCTCATCGAGAACAAATTCATCTTTGGAAAAACGAACGCTATTTAATCTACTTAATTCAACTTTTACCCTTTCAATAATAATCTTAGCGTGATTCCGGAGTGCTTTTCAAGCCCTTTTTTTTACATAGTAGTTGATTTTGGGAACCGACAAAGAAAGTAAGGAAAAATTTATCTTTTTTGTTATATCGGCAAGTTTTTCTTTACAAATTTTTAATTCTCTTTTGGTTGATAAAATAACTGAATAATTCATTCTGGAATTAATATTTTCTATTAATATATATTTTATAGTTTCGAACTTTACTTATCCGCAATATTCTTATACTTTTCAATAAAATCACGGTTGGGATTTCAAGAATTTTCTTTTCTTTCTCGTAAATCAAGCAAAACCTTTCTAGTTGCTTCGGAAATAGCTTTTATTTTAGGCAATTCTACTTGTAATCGGATATATAAATTTCCGCGTGCCGTTTTGTTAATTCCTAAAAAACAACCATAACCTTTTAAAACTAACAAATCTCCATTTTGACTCCCAGGGGGAATTTCGATTTCTTTAATTTTTTCATCTTCTTCTAAGGTAATAACTTTGACTTTTCCGCCTAAAATAGCATCTAAAAAAGAAATTGGTAAGTTGACATGAATATCATCACCTTTACGCTGAAAATAAGGATTTTCTTCGACTTTTATAACTACATAGATGTCTCCTTTTTCTCCTCCGTGCCAACCATCATTACCTATCCCTCGGTAGCGTAATTTTTCCCCTTGCCTAATTCCAGAAGGAATAACAAAAGGTATTGTTTTCAACTCCAATATTAATTTTTCACCTTTACACTTTTCACATTTTTTTTTGATTTTTCTTCCTTTGCCCTGACAACGAGAACAATCGACTTGTGTGCGAATTGTCCCCAAAAGAGTTCTTTGAACCGAATTGACTATTCCCCTTCCTTGACAAGCTGAGCATTCTTGAATATCGTTTGGAGAATAAGCCCCAGTTTGGCGACAAACTTGGCAGGCTTTTTTAAGATTCAAAGAAATTTTTTTTTTGGTTCCGAAAACTGACTCTTTAAAGGTCAAAGAAATATTAATTAAAACATCACTTCCCGCTTGCGGTCATGCTTTGTCCCTAGAATAGTCTCTTCGGCTTGAATATCCCTCCTCTCTACCAAAAAAATTTTTTATAATATCCTCAAAAAAATCACCAGTTCTACCACTAAATCCGCTGGTGTCAAAACCTTGGGCAGAACTTCTGTCACTACCATAAAGGTCATAATTTTGGCGTTTTTGGGGGTCGCTCAGAACCTCATAGGCCTCATTGATTTCCTTCATTTTTTCTTCGCCTTCTTTATTACCGAGATTTTTATCGGGGTGATATTGTTTGGCTAGGTTTCGGTAGGCCTTTTTTATTTCTGACTCGGAGGCATCTTCCGACACCCCCAGGATTTCATAGTATCTTTTTTTATTCATTAATTTATCTATACACGCATAAATTATTCCCTAATCTAAAAAAGGGATAATTATCTTTATTTCGGGAGATAAATTTTTCTATTTTTTATCCTCTGATTCAGGATGAACATCCTGAACGCCCTCTTTTCCATTTTTTTGTTGTTCCTCTTCGGAGGGGTATTTTTGCTCTAATTCGCTCGATAATTTTATTAACTCATCAATCTTTTCTATTTTCTTTTCCAACTCAGCATATTTTTGCTTCTTTACTTCTTCGTTTTTTTCCTCTTTTGCCTCTTCGGCACTTTTCTTTAATTCATCATATAATTTTTTAAATGCTTGGAATTGAGGTTCATCTTCCTTAAAATTCTTATTTTTTGTAAATTCTTTCATCTTTTTTTCGAAATTGTAACAATAAGACTCGGCTTGGTTAAGAGTTTTGGCATTTCGAGCATATTCCTCATCTTTGTCTTTATATTTTTCAGCCTCTTTGACCATTTTTTCAACCTCTTCTTTGTTGAGACCACTGCCAGCCGTGATAGTAATATTTGACTCCTTATCAGTTCTTTTGTCCTTGGCTGAAACTTTGACTAAACCATTGGAATCAATATCAAAGGTAACTTCAATTTGAGGAACGCCCATCGGAGCCGGCTCGATACCACCTAATTCAAACATACCTAATGATTTATTGTCCCTAACCTGTGGTCTTTCTCCTTGAAGAACATGAATAAGCACACTAGTTTGGTTGTCTGCTGCCGTAGAAAATATTTCGGATTTCTTAGCCGGAATAGTAGTGCCGCGTGGAATTATTATTTGATTATTACCACCTTTGGTTTCAATACCCAAAGAAAGTGGAGTAACATCCAAAAGAAGTATATCTTTCACATCACCCATCGCCGCTCCACCCTTAATAGCCGCTCCTATCGCTACCGCTTCATCGGGATTAACTGCTGATTTAGATGGTTCTATCCCAAAAATCTCTTTTGCTTTTTTTTGCACCGCAGGCATTCTAGTCATCCCTCCTACCAAAATAACTTTATCAATTTTTTTAACTTTTGAACGTTCAAGACAGTCTTTGCATGGCGAAACCAATTTTTCTAAAAGTTCATCAACCAAGTTCTCTAATTTTGAACGAGAAAGTTTTGTAGAAAGATTCTTCGGACCAGAAGCATCACTGTAAACAAAAGGAAGATTAATATCAATTTCCCCCGCATTGGTAGAAAGTTTTTGTTTAGCATCTTCGGCCGCCTCTTTCAAACGTTGCAAAGTCATTTTATCTCCTACTTTTCGTAAATCAACACCGTGTTCCTTTTTAAATTCTTCTATTAACCATTCAACAATCTTTTCATCAAAATTAGCCCCCCCTAAAAAAGTGTTACCATCAGTCGCTTTCACTTCGAAAACACCCTCATCAATTTCGACAATGGAAATATCAAAAGTTCCACCCCCTAGGTCGAACACCGCAATTGTTTGAACTTTTTTATCTTTGTCTTTGTCAATTCCATAAGCCAGGGCAGCGGCAGTTGGCTCGTTGATAATTTTAATCATTTCCCGGGCTTTTTTGATATCTTGGGGATCACCAAATCCAGCAATAATTGCCGCATCAACAGTGGCTTGTCGTTGAGCATCGTTAAAATAGGCTGGCACAGTAATTACTGCATTCTTGACCTTTTCTCCCAAATAATCCTCGGCAATTTCTTTCATTTTTTGAAGAACGAAAGATGAAATTTGCTGGGGAGGATATTTTTTATTTTCTACCTCAATTCAAGCATCGCCATTTTCGTGTTCTATAATTTTAAAGGGGGCGGTTTTCCTAAACTCTTGAACCTCCTTAGTATTAAATTTCATTCCTATCAAACGTTTGGCTTCAAAAACCACTCTTCCTGGTCTAGAAACCGCTTGGTTTTTAGCCGATTCTCCTACTATATCTTTTTCACCATTTTCACGAAAAGAAACTACCGAAGGAGTAGTGTTCTTTCCTGATTCATTATTTAAAATAACTTTAACTCCTGCCCCTTCGAAAACTGCAACACAAGAGTTAGTTGTTCCTAAATCGATACCGATAATTTTATTACTCATATATTATATTATTAATTTTAACTATTTTTTAGATTTAGTACTAATTTTTATTTGAACCGGTCGCAAAACTCGCTCATAAATTTTATAACCTTTTTGAGAAATTTGGAGAATAGTTCCTTCGGGATATTTATCATTTTCTTTTATTTCTTCTACTTTTAAGGTTTTACCATGTAATTTTTCATCGTAAATATCTTTCAGTGGAGTAACTTTAATTTCCTCTACCCCATACATTTTTAAAACATTACGAAACTCATCCAAAATCATTTGAAAACCAACTAAGAAATTCCGAATTTTGGGGTCGGTATCGTGTTGACTAATCTGCATCGCTTTTTCATAATTATCAGGAAAAAAAAGAAATTGTCGAATTAGTTTTTCATTACTGTATTTCGTTTTTTCAATCATTTCTCGGAAATGTATTTTTCTTTGGTTATCCATTTCAGCTAGCAAACGAAGATTTTTATCTTTCAAGTTTTCAATTTCTTTTTTTAATTCAACTATATTTTCCTTTTCGGGTGTTTTTAACTCAGTCGGGTTTGCTTGACTATCTTTATTTTCTGTCTTTGGCGTTTCAGTTTCGTCTGATTTTTTTTGGGAAAAATTTTCCTTTTCGTTTTTTTTATCCATAAATGTATATAAATAATTTTTTAGCCAATTATCCCTACTTACTTTTGAAAATTTTGTAATCCTATTCAAACTCAACCTACAAATTATTTCCTCTCTTCAATTACTCAAAAAATATTTTAGCACTTACTATTTTTCCCTCTCTTACTCATTAAAAAAATGACGTGTAAAAATACGCAAAAAAATTCATAAACGAAAAAATAAAATTATTAGTAATATAGAATTAATATGAAAACAAAAAATTTATTGATTTGGATACTGATTATTGTTATCCTTTTAGGAGGGGGGGTTTTGATTTATAAATTTTCTTCTTCTAAATCAGAAACACTACCGGCTGACCTGCCTAACCCAAATGGTAAATTATCCCAAGCCGAATTAGAAAAATACTTGCTAGAAAAAAGACTAGATTTACAAAAATATTTTGTCTTTAATTTAGGAGAGGAAGTAAAGTTGAAAAAATACAAGATAGACTCAACTTTCTTATCTAATATTCGCGAAGTAGTGCCTTCGCTTTCTACTCACCTTACTAGATTAATAGGCGAACCCAAAGAGTTTATTTTTTTTCAAGGCCAATATTCTAATGAACCCTCGCCTGATTGAGATAGTGATAGTTTAGACCAAAAAATTAATAGCGGTAAGGAATGATTTATTATTTTCGATAAAACTAAAATTAATGAGGAAACTTGTAATTATTTTTCACAAACAGGAGGTGCGAGAGGCTGAACATTTCCAAAAGTCTGTGTTTTGGCGGTTGAAAATAAAGACAATGTTTGAATAAAAAAAACCAAACAGGAAGCCCTCGAAATTATAAAAGAAGACCCTGCTCTCATTGGTAAAATTTAGTATATTTTTATGAATTATAATATCTTCCCAATTTCTTCAAACAGTTTTATAAACTTTTTTCCATTTCTTCCATTCTTCCACAATATCGCTTTTGATAACTAAATGTACCCGAATTAACTAGTAAAGAATTTAATAAGTTGATTAAAATAGAATATAATGTTAACTCTCCACACTCTCCAAAAATTACAATCAGAACAAAAAAAATTAGACCAATTCATTATCCAAAAAAAAAACCTGACTGATACTGACAGTAAAACTAGTTTTATCCGCACCAAAATTGCTCTTTTGGTGGAAATTGGCGAATTAGCCAATGAATTAAAAACTTTTAAGCACTGAAAAAGCCAAAAAGAAGTTAATTGAGAAAAAGCCAAAGAGGAATTAATTGATTGCTTACATTTTTATTTAAGTTGAGCGAATAGTTTTCAAATTGATTTTGCCGATTATAGATTTCAGAAATTTGTGCCTGAAACTGATTATAATGAATTACTGTTGGCTCTCTTTTCAGAAACGGAGGCATTTAGTATTGAGGTTCCTTGAAAGATATGAAAATCAAAAATGCTGGCTGCTAATGAAAAGCATTGAGAGGATTACATAAACAAATATAGTTCAGAAGGTAAAATTACTGAAAAAGATATTGAAAATTTTAAAAAAATAAAAGAAGGACAAAAAAAAGACATTGAAAAAGCAAATAATAATTTTTTAAAAGGAATTAAAGAAGAAAAAGATAAATCGAGTTTCTACCGGTGGTTAATAATCTTTGAAGAATTAGCCCAAAAATTAGGAATGAAAAACGAAAAAGATATTGAAAATGCCTATATGATGAAAAATAAAATCAATTGAGAAAGGCAAAGAGGAAATTATTAATAGTTAAATAATATCCCCATAACTAAAAAAGATTTGCGGGAATGTTCTGTATTTTTGTTAGTTTAGAAAAAATGTATCTATTTTGCCTCGTTTTCCTCCACCTTTTTTAATTCGGTTTCTAATTGATTCTTTTCTTGGCGAAGTTGGATTAATTTTTTTTGGAGTTTTCTTTTTTCATCCTCATCTATTCATTCTTTATACCATTTACTCTCGTTAAAATCAGGGTTAAGTTTTAGCCGCAATTTAAGGTGTTCCCTTCAAAAAATCTCGGCGGTTTGTTGCGACAAGGCATTAATAGTGCCAATCCGATAAACCGAGTCTTTTCCGAGCAATTCCCGCACATAATTATGAGCGATTTTTTGATATTCACCCGAAAAGTTAAGGTCAATGTCCGGAGTTTTTTCTCCTTCTCAACCAAAAAAGGTCTCAGAAGGCAAATTATTTCCTTCGATAGTTAACAAGGAAGAGCAAGCAGGACAATTTTCTTTTCCCTGATAGTCATAACAGGAATAAATTCTATCTTTGGTCTCATAAACGGCTACGTACTTACACTTTTGACAAAATTTATAAAAAGGTAAAGGGTTTAAATCAGTAATCCGACAAAGATAAGCAATAAAAGAGGAACCGATTGAACCTCGTGAACCAACCAAAGAACCATCTTGATGGGCTTTTTGCACTACTTTTCAAGCCAACCAGTAGATAAAAACATATCTGCCTTTAATGATTTGTCACTCTTTTTCCATTCTCTCCTTAACAAAGGTAGGCCATTTTTCCCCAAAAATTTCGTTAGTTCGCTGCGTATAGGCTTGAATTAAATCATTTTCTTCGCGTTTAATACTTTCGGTATTCGAATAATTAAGGGGCGGTTGCTGGATAATAACTTCTTTTATTTTCTCTACTAGGCGTTGGGGATAATTAAAAATAAGTTTTTCAATTAAATATTTATCATTAAGGAAAAGCCAATTATCAATAATTTCCTCTTTGGTTAGTAAATGTTGAGGTGGCAAAGCGGCGAAGTGGTCTTTGCTTTCTTCCAAAGTTGCTTCCTTATAAAGAAAATGCCGAACCCCGTTCATTCCTTCGTTAGCCACAATAATTTCTTTCAGAATATTTTTCTTTTTTTCGCAATAATGAACGTTATGATAGGCGACAGTTGGAATATTTAACTCCTCGGCCATATTAATGATTTGAAAAATCATTGATTTTAGTTCATTTTCTCTCATCCTTCCATTTAATCATAAGTGGCGGAGGCTATTAGGGCTACCCGCTTCAATGTAATCATAAAATTTCATTCTTTTTTTTCTCTTCTGAATGGAGTTAAAAGAACTAAAAAGAGTAAACATCTCTCCTTCTCTCCCTCCGCTCGCTCCTACCAAAAGTCCTTGACGATACTTAACTAAGTCAGAGTGGAAAACGCAAGGCTTCTTAAAAAGCCTTTCGGTGTGTGAAAGGGTCACCAAACGATAAAGGTTATTTAGCCCTTCTTGGTTAATAACTAAAACCTTTACTTTATGACCTCGATTAGGAAAATATTTACCATCAATTAATTTTTCTACTTCTCCTCACTGGCTGATTTTTTTCTCTTTTAAAGTTTTGGCTAGTTTTCAAAACAGTTCAGTTAATAATTTACTATCCCCCAATGCTCGGTGAGTTTGAACAACCTTTTCCCGCCCCGGAATACGGGTCAATCTTTCTAAACTATAAGACTTTCGTTCCGGAAAGACTATTCAGGAAAGAGGCAAAGTATCTAAAACAGGGTAGGGTAATTCCTCGCCAAAATGTTCGGTTCAGACTTTATTCAAAAATCCATAATCGAAGTTAGCGGCATTATGGGCTACTAATACACAATTTTCCCAATCTTTTTTCAGCAGTGGTAAAACTTCTTTAATTTTCGGAGCACTCTTTAACTCATTAGGGTCAATGCTGGTGTATCAAGTAGCCAAAACTTCCGGAGCAATTTCTTTTTCCGGACAAATTAAATATTCTCCTTCCCGAATTGTTTCCCCCTTTTGATAAATAACATACCCTATTTCAATTATTTCATTATAAGTCGAGAAAAAACCAGTGGTTTCTAAATCAAAAATACAATAAGTTAAGTTTTCTATTTCGGCGGTTAAAATGCTATCATTGTGGTTAAAAATATAAGGCGGCAATTTATCCGCCAAGACTTCTAATTCACAACCATAAATAATTTTTAAATCATTACTTTGGTGTTTACTAAATTCAGGAAAAGATTGAACGTTGTAATGGTCAGTTATCGCCAAAGCAGCATAATCTTTTTTTTTAGCACTCTCAACATAATCATTAGGGCTACTTATACCATCCAAAGTGCTAAATTTAGTATGAACTCCTAATTCAAAAATTTTTCTTTCTTTTCATTCCCGACAAAGAGATAATTTATTCAGCCTTGTTTTACCATTAAATCTTGCCAAGTCATAATTGTTTTTTTCTAGTTTTGGCTTTTCACTTTGATTACCCTTTAATGAATTTTGTTGCGAAGAACTGGTATTGAGATTTTTTTTCGATTCTTTCTCTTTTTGCCTAAGGGAAAAACGAATATTTGCTAAGCCTAATTTTCCTAATATTCCTTTCAAAGCAACCAGTTTGGGCTTTCAGTTAACTAAACACTGTTGGTCGGAAAAGGAAACTGTATTTCGGCGAAAGGTGAATTCTTTTAATAAGGCTTTTTGCTCGCAAAAAAAAGTTAAATCCTCTTCATTTTTTCACAAGAAAGGAGTAGTACAAATCAGCGAAAAGTATTCTTTAATAGTATCTTCGTTAATTACTAAATTTGGCTCTTTAAATCTTATCTGAAAGTCAAGGAAGTCAAACAAATAATTTAACTTATTGTAAATTGAATAAAGGAGTTTACCGAGCGTTTCCGCTGAAAGCAAGGAAGGAACCGTAATTTCCCAGCAACCCGAAGTAGAAAAATTATTTTCAACTTCTCTCAACTCTTTATTTTCTGTTTCTATTTCAATTTCTTTTAGGAGTTTAGAGTTCATTGGAGGAAGAAGTGGTATAATAAAAATTTTATAGAAAATTTTACATTAACATTTCGGATAATTATTTTCTGAACTTATTTTACTTAATTAACTAATTTATTTCCTTGAAACAAAAGGATTATTTTTAATATAAAATCTTCATAAGCGGTCTTTGTCTGCTCCGGCATAATCAATATTAACTCTTTTAGTGATAATAACTTGCCCTGGACTAATTTCTGGTTGGTCTTCTAAATAAATTAAATCGCTAGTAGTTAAATCGACGTTATTGAGGCTTATATCAATATTCAAGGCTCGACATAATTTTCCTGGACCATTAGTATAATAGTGATATTTTTTCTTTGGGTCATGTTGAGAACTAACTGGAATAGTGTGGTGATTTAGTGGTTCAGCGGCTCGAATTAATACCGCTTGCGGGTCTCCTTTAAAAGAAGAAGTGATATTAAAACAATAATACATGCCATAAATAAGATAAACATAAGCAAAACCTCCTCGGCTATACAAAGCCGCCGCTTTTCATTTTGACCTATTTTCTTGGTGAGCGTGGCAAGCTCGGTCAATTTTTCCATCATAGGCTTCGGTTTCCACAATTTTAACTTTAATGAGTTGGCCATTGATATTTCGGACTAGGATTTTGCCGAGTAATTTTTGGGCTAAGTCTACTGTGTTGATGGTGAAAAAGTTGGGGTCGGTGATACGCGGAAAAATACTGTTTGAATTCATTTCAATTTTAATTAATTTTTGAAAAATAACCCTCCACTCCTTCTTTCAAAACAAAAACATTCAAATAACCTTTCTCCCTTAACGTTTGAGCGGCTTGACCGGAACGATTACCATAATTGCAGTAAGTGATAATTAGTTGATTTTTATTTTTGATATATTTTTCGGGCTCGCTAATTAATTCTAAAAAAGGAATATTAAGACTATTAGGTATTTTTTTTAGTTCTTGGTGTTCTCAATTATCTCGGACGTCGATGATGAGGGCTTGATGTTTGATTTTTTCGAATCTGAGTTTTGTAATTGTTGCTTCCATAATTTTCTTATTCCTCTTTTATGCCTTTTTCACTTAAAAATTCTTTCAACAATGAAATTCCTTTCTTAAAAGTATTCTCATCTGTTACAGTTAACACAAAAACTGACGATTCTTCTCTAAGTTCATATTTTTTGCTAAACTCTGCTAAAAAAGCATTTTCTTTGGTGTTGGAAAAATAGACACTAAATCCTTTCGTCTTGGTAATTCTGATCCAAAAAAGGGAGAAACTTCTTTTATCTATGGTATAATCTATCCCGTTTCATCCGTTTCCTTTTCCATAGTAGAAACGAAATTTAAGAGAAAACTGAGTTGTAAGGAGCATGTGAAGCTTTTCAACTCATCTTTTTGTTTCTTCACGAGCCCTAATTATTTGTCAGAAATGAAAAAGTTCTTCTGCTTTTTGTGCTGCTTTTTTGTCATTCTCTTTCGAAAAAGTTTCTAATAATTCGACTTTGTCCTTACTTTCTAGCTTGACAGCTTCTTCACCTTCCTTGTTTTCATATCATTCGCTCTTAATTCATATGACGCTAGGTATCAAATTATAGCCTTTGAAAGGATTTTCAGGAGAAATTAAAATAAGTTTTAACTCCCCCCACTCAATTTCTTCATTTTCCCATTTTATTCCTTTATTTTTAGGGAAAAGTTTATTTAAATCATTCAATAGTCTCTTGCAGACTTTCCCGTCTTCCTCCGTAAATTCCCCTAAATATTCGATAACTTGTCCCGATGCTAAACGGGGTTTTAGTTCACTTTTGTATTCAAAAATGATAAAAGAGTTCCCTTCTGGATACCAACATAGAGCATCGAGTGATTTTCTTAAAAAAGGATACTCCGTTGGATATTTCTTATCTCTATCAAGAATGATTAATTCAAGTTTGGGGAAAATTTTTTCTAGATGCTTTTCGAAAAACTTCGAAATTCAGTCATGTTTACCATGCTTTTCAACTAACTTTAATTTCGAAGTTTCTTTCTCAGTTTTTCCTGTTTTGTAAAATAATTTAAATATTCTTTTCATACTTTTAAAACTAATTTTTGCTTTTCAACTGCGGAAAAGCAATCACTTCTTTAATACTATTTTGACCGGTAAACAACATAATTAATCTATCTATCCCAATTCCTAATCCTCCGGCTGGTGGCATTCCGTATTCCAAGGCTTCCAAAAATTCCTTATCGAAACTAGCAATTTCTTCATTACCTAATTCTTTTTGTTTGGTTTGTTCTTCAAATCTTTTTTTTTGTTCTATCGGGTCATTTAACTCGCTATACCCATTAGCAAATTCTAACCCGCCAACATATAATTCAAACCTGTCCGCAATATCTTTATTCTCTGCTTTACTTTTGGCTAGGGGCGAAACTTCTATCGGATAATCATAAATAAAAGTCGGTTGAATTAATTTTTTTTCCACAAATTCTTCAAAAAAGGCTAAAATAACCTGTCCGATACTTTTTTGAAATTTTTCTAATCTTAAATTATGTTTTCGGGCTAATCCTAAGACTTCTTCTAAATTACTTATTTGAGAAAAATCGACATTTGCATATTCCTTAATCGCTTCTATCATTGATATTTTTCTAAAATTTTCTTTCAATGAAATACTGTAAGAATTAAACTCAAACTCTTCTTTTTTCAAAACTTCTTTGGCTAAATAATGTAATAATTCCTCAGTCAAATCCATCATATATTCAGAGTTCTCATAAGCCTGATAAACCTCAATAGTGGTAAATTCAGGGTTATGACGAGCATCTATCCCCTCATTCCGGAATATTCGACCAATTTCGTAAATTTTTTCGAATCCACCAACTAGCAATTTTTTTAAAGAAATTTCGGTAGCAATTCGTAGGTAAAAATCTCTATGTAGTTTGTTGTGGTGGGTAATAAAAGGTTTGGCTTGGGCTCCGGAGGCTTCTGAAACTAAAATGGGAGTTTCAATTTCAATAAATTCCCTTTGGTCTAAAAACTTTCTAATGGCTTTAATTACTTCATGCCTTTTAACAAGTATTTGTCTATTTTCGGCGTTTACTAATAAATCTAAATATCTTTTGCGAAATCTTTCCTCAACGTCTTTAAATTTAAAGTGAATAGTGTCAGGAAGAGATTTTTGACATTTAGTTAAAATGGAAAAATTTTCTAACTCTATGCTTAACTCCTGCTTTTCTTTTTGTTTGTCTTGGATATCAGTTTTACAAACTATTCCGGTTAGTTCAATAATATCTCCTCTACCTACTTTGGAAAAATTTTCATTTTGAGTTATTTTTAATTGAATAATCCCATTTTGGTCGGCTAAATCGGCAAAAATTAATTTTCCGAAAACTCTTATTCGGTTTATTATTCGCCCGGCAATATTTACTTTTTGCTTTTTTTTAGATAGTTCTTCCTTGCTAAAATGAGAAAATAATTTAATAATTGTTTGAATATCGTTTTTTCTAGTAAATTCCCTTTGCTGAAAAGGATTTTGGTCCAAATCAGTTAGTTTTTTTTTTTGGTTTTTTAATATTGATTCACTACTCATTTAATACTTTTAATAATATAAAAAGTTTTATTACTCAAAAAAGTGAATAGAGAAAATTCCACAAGGGTTCGCCGACTTTTTCTTATATACAATGCCAATAATTCTTTATAATTTGGTCTTTCCTGTTAATAAGGAGGTTTGACTTTTAGATAATATAAATACTTCCTAAATCTTGTAATATTTTTATTTTAAACAGATAAACAGCGATAAAGTTAATAGCCCTTTTTGAAAGTCGCCAGTTTTTTAAACGGAACTAGTTTATTACCTTTCAGAATTATTTTCTACTTACTTTCGGGAAGCCTTCGAATGAATTCATAATTGAATTATAATTCATCAAAGCATTAATGTCACAAATAATGCTATTCCTCCAATTACCCACGGAGATTTTCAATTGAAGCCGGTTTTTTGTCTCTCTCTCTCTCTCTCTCTCTCTCTGTTCTTTTATTTTTAATGTCATTCAAAACTTCGTCTTCGAAACTATTAATTTGACTTTCTTGGTTGCTAGTGTTAATGGTTGTTTCTCAATTTTGATATGCTGAACTTAAATCCTTAGAACTTAATTTCGGTTCCGAATTAAGAGCCTGCTTGATAGCCGTAATAGCCTTATTTCTAATTTGAAGAATATTAGAAGGAATGTCTGGTTCATCAGGACCTCGGGAAGCAGTAGTAAGTTTAATTATCCCACTGAATTTTGATTCAAAAAAAATAAGCAAATTTTTAAAACTTACCCGAACTTCCGGTTTAGTTTTATCAATAATATTAGCAAAACCCTCTACATTTAAGAAAATTTTGTCTTTATCAAAACTCAACTCAAATTGTTTTTGATTATCATCGCATAAGGTCTGATAAAAAGCAGTTTCGGTATTATTATCCGCAAAAATAAAAGCAATTTTTTCAAAAGGAACTTTGCTATCGGCAGGCGGAACTGCTCTTTCAAAAGAACCGGCTAAATCATACACCAAAAAATTAGTACTAATTTCCAGTTCTATTCCAAGAGTTCCAGGTCTAAGTTTACTAGCGGGAATATGCGAAAATTTAGTTTTGGTAAACGGTATTTTAATTTCTGTCATATTAGTTCATTAATAATTCTTTATAGTTTAGTTTTTATCTGAGTCCTTAAAAAAGGTAAAAAAAATTCTAACCTTATAATATTTTTAATTATTATTTCTTTTCGCGGGTTCAAAATTCGGCCTTGTCAGATACCTCACCGGCTAATACTAATTCTAAATGTTGTTGGATTACTTTAATATCTGCCATGACCCTTTTGTATTCTTCCAGCAATTTTCTTCTTCCACTACCACCGCCAAATTCCCAATCAACAATCGACTCTAAAAGTTTAACTAATGACTTATCCCTTTCCTTTTCTAGTTTATTTTTTTCACGAAGTAAATTATAAAAATTTTTGCTCATATTACAATACTTAAATTAAATGTTAATTAGGCAGGTATAAGGGATGCCTAACCCTACGACATAGAGCCTTAACTATGGTTAACATAATATTATTTATCTTCTACTGCTACTATTTTTATCAACGTGTGTGCTTCCTGATGACCCCAAACCCTTTTGGTTCTCTTTTTTGATTTGTATTTCATCCCAAAAATTTTCTTATTTTTTACATTTTTAACTACTTTTCCAATCAATTTAATCGGTAAATAAGGCTGACCAAATTCCCCATCTCTTTCTAAAACTTTGTCAATAATTATCTCATCACCCTCTTCAACTTCTTTTTTTTTGCCCGACTCAACTACTTTTTTTTGTAAAGGAATTCGAATAGTTTGGTCTTTTTTCTCTGAAATTCATTCAAATTGTTTACCTTTTAAAAATACGACACTCATAATATATATTATTTTAACATTTACTACCATGGAAGATATCAAATAATTTTCAAAAATGAATCCTCGGACAAAAATTACTTCCCTTGGTAAATTCAACTAAAAAAATCTCTCACTCTGGCTAAACATTAAGGAACCTAAACTAAAAAGAAGAGAAAATTTCAAAATAATTAACCAGTTTTTGGAAAAAATTAAAGACGGATTCATAAAAAAAAGAAATATTTTAACCTTAAATAGAGATAAAATTGTTTATATGGTTCGTTGGCAAGTTAACGAAAAAAAATAAAATCTGGTTCGTGTGAACAAACCCGAAATATCAAATATTCTGCAAATCGAGCAAAGGAATTAAAGAGAGGAAAATTTTTACATGAAAAAAATTATCATAATAGGAAAAAAAGGAGTAGGAAAAACTGCCCTTTTTCAGCAATTAATTAAACATTATTCCTCTCCCGAAATTGAAAAAAAAAGTATTAAACTAAATCCCCTAATTAACCATGCTGAAAGTCTAATCAAAATCAAAGATAATTTTTATAAATTAATTGATACCCCTGCTTTTGCCTTTGCTCCCCAAACTGAAATAGAGAAAGGAATTAAATTCCAAACCGAAAACTTATTAAAAACCGGCGATTTGATTTGTTGAGTAATTAACCAAGTAGAGGAGGAGGAACTTCAATTAAAAAGATACTTAAAAAAATTTTCGGCTCCGCAAATTTTAGTATTTAACAAACTAGATTTGGCAAGCGAAAATGATTTTCACTCCTGCCGAGTTCTCCAACCGCAATATTTTTTAACTATCTCGGCTGAAAAAGGAATTAACCTTACTAAATTAATGACCCAAATAACCACTCTTTTGCCCTCTTCGGCTGGTAAAAATCCTAACCAAAAAGAAAAAGAATTAAAATTACTTATTTTTGGACCACCTAATTCAGGAAAATCAACCTTAATGAATTATTTGTTAAAAGAAAACCGCTCCCTGGCTACCTCGGTTGCCGGAACCACCCAAGAACCAGTAATTAGTCAGTGAAATTGAAAAAAAATTGAGTTTGAATTAGTTGATACAGCCGGCATCACCAAAGAGCAAAAATTAAAAGAAAGTATATGAAAAAATTGTGATTTAGCCTGGGCGGTAATTGATGCTACTTTGCCTCTCACCAAACAAATACTACAAATAATAAATTTAGGTGAAAGGCACAATAAACCGCTCATTATAATTATTAATAAGTGCGATTTGATAGCAGACCAAAAATTACTAATGGAAGAGATAAAAAATCGCTTAAAATCGCTTGGTTATGTGCCGATAATTTACCTTTCGGCTCTCCATGGAGAAAAAATTAAATCACTCCTCAAAGTTTTAGCAAAAATATTGGAACAGTCCCAAAAAAAACTTTCCAAAAAAGGATTAGCGGAAGTAGTAGAAAAAATGCTGCTTTACCATCCCCCTAAATATTTTAAGGGTAACAAATTAAAAGTCTATTTTGCCAAGCAAGAACCAGGATTAGTTCAGGCTTTTATTTTTTTTGTTAATAACCCTCGTTGGGCTCATTTTTCTTATCAGCGTTATATAGTTAACTGTTTACGGAAAAATCTTGGTTTAGAATACTTACCTATAAAAGTAATTTTCAAAAAAAGCAGTTAGGAATTAGGGAAGTTTAATGTTTGATATAAATAACTATTTTGTCTTTCGCCAATTCAGTAATGGTTTTCTGAAAATCTTTCTGATTGTCCTTATCCAAAGCATTATCGGCCTCATCAAAAAGAAAAATCTGACAGTCTTTTTTGTTGGTTAACACTTGTTTAATATTACCTAGTTGTTTTTGACCCGTAGAGCCTTTTTCAATTAAAGTGTCGTGGGAACAATAAACCACATTATTTTCCCGTCAGGCTTGTAAATTAATGTCTCGGTGAAGTTCATAACTAGACCCGTTTTGGTATTCAATAATTACTTTCCCCTCTTGCGGATTTAGCATTCCCAGCAAAAGATACAAAACAGTGCTTTTTCCAGTTCCATTTTTACCCATTAAGCGGTTTAACTTTTCGGTGGTGAAAATGCGATTGTAGCGTTTTAAAACTCATTCTGTTTGTCCTTGATAGCGAAAAGAAACATTAACAAAAGTAATTGATTTTAACTTCAAGGTTTTTGCTAATTTTAGACCTGCCAAATTGTCATTTTTTTCGGGTAGAGCCAAAAAAGCATTAATGCGCTTTCGAGAGGAAGCATAATCGCCATAATCCCAAACGCAAGTAAAAATTCCCGCGAAATTGGTAAAAATTACTCAAATAATTCATAAACTACTCCCCACGAATTTACTTGACAAAACTATTAATAAAAAAGGAAACCACCTCACTAACCAATTAACCGGGATGGTTCGGCTGAGAGCCTTGGTATAACTGAAAGAAACTAGTGAACTTTCATTCTGTTTAGTTATCTGGCGTTGTTGGGACTGATACTGTTGGTCTAGTCCCATTCCGGTAATTAAATTCGCTTGGTTAATTTCTTTATTAATTATCTTTCATTCCTTAGTTAAGGCTTTTTTGTGGCTTTCCTCACCTCTAATTACTATTTTGGTAAAGTAATAACTTAAAAAATTGATTAGCAATAACCAAGCAATCGAAAAAAATAAAGCTGCATTACCCATTTCCGAAAAACTTTGATAGTTAAATAGCAGAGCCAAAATAATTGATAAAATACTGTGGTAAATATGGTTAGGGATATGTTCTCAATACCAACCTATATTTGCTGAATCAGATTCTACTAAAACTCGCAATTCATCTTTTTTTAACCGCTTTTTTTCAAAAGATAAGCATCGAAATTTGGTTAATAAGAGATTTTTAGTATAATGACCGCCCCGCACCATTAATTCTTCCTCTTTTAAATAACTCAAATAATAAAAAAAAGCAAAAGAAAAAACTAAAATAGTTCCCAGTAAAAAAAAACCAAATTTGCCTAAATTTCCGAAAAATAATTGAAGCGATTTTGGCAAAAGTTCAGCGAAATTAAAATCTTTTCCCACCATTTTATTCTCAAAAATACTAGCAGCAATACCAGCCAAAATAGACTCGATTATTATATAAGGAGTAGTTATTATAAAATGTTTAATTACCTTTGTTTGGAATCTTGCATATAAAGTTCAGAAATTAATTTTTTTCGTCATTAAGTTTTATTAATATTATTTTTATTTAGAAATTGACTTGCCTTTCGTGCTTTTTTTTGAAAATTATCTATATTTTTTTGGCTAGTTTTTGGTTTTGATATCCCTCAGAAATAACTATTTTTTATCACTGATGAAAGCACAAGCATTATATGAATTTAGAAATTTGAACCCGCCCTGAACTTTCCGTAAAAAATAAGTTAGCGAATTGTTTTCATCACATTTAACCTCCAATTCTTCTAAGCCATGTCAACTCACTAACCCCCTTTTATCCATGATAATAAATTGAAAATTGTTTTTTAAAGGAATAGTAATTACTTCCGCAAATTGATTTCAAACTTCATTCAAGGGCAAAGGCAATTTTCTTATTTGTTTATAGTCTCGGCTTTCCTCTACATAGAATTCTTTATGTTGGGCGATTTCTATTTGTCGATAAAGGGAAATATCACAAATTAATAATAAATCTTTGGTTTGGGAAAAAGTTTTTCGACCACTTTTGTTTCATTGGGAAGACTCATAACGCATTTTAAGGTTAGTATCAATTATCCATTGGATAACTGTTTCAATTTTTTGGAATTCGCTAGCCTTTTTGTATATTTTAGCATTAGCGTTATAATTGTCAAGTTGGCAAATGGCAGTGCTGATTTGTCGGTCAAAAATGAAATCAACAAAAGCAAGAGATTTTTTTTGAATCTTATATTGGGCTTCCTCGATTAAATTTGAAAGTTTTTTAGAGTTTTTGAGAGCGATTTGGGTAATATCGCCGGTAATTGCATGAAAGAAAAATTTGCGAAAAGTTAAGGGAATTATTTCGCCCGGTTGCTTCGGAATAGGAATAAATTCGTCCGCTTCAAGATTTTTTTCTCATTCAATTTGCTTATCGGTGTATTCGGCAAATGGTTTATTTTTGGTTTTTTCAATATTATTGAGGTAATTCAACCAATCAATTTTGGTGGAATGTTTCATAATTTTGTAATCATTATTTATTGCTCGTTTACTTTCTTCAACAACAGGGGAAGAACTATAAAAAAATTCATTAGAGAGATTTCTTTTTGCTCTTTCTTTAAGAGAAAAAGGAACACGGACTTCTTTTTGTTCGCTTAAATTAAACTCCGAAACAGCCTCATTAACTAAATCGTTTTTATTCGAATTTTTTACTAAATCTTTTAGGTTTATATCTTTTAGACTTGACATGGTTACCACTTTTATTATTCATTATCTTTCTTTTTGGCTAATTCCCTTTCTAGATAATATAATTTAGCCTGGCAAACTTTTTGATTAATGCGACCTAATTTTTTAATACTTACTATAAGCGGAGAATGATAAAGGAAAATACTTCTAACTGCTACTTTGCCACTTTCTCTTAAAACCGAAAAGGTGTAACTAATTTGCTTTTTGTTCTTTTGGGTAATTACTATCCCTTTAAAATTAACTAGACGATGCTTAGTTTTCTCATTTTGACTAAATCTATTAAAGTTTTTAGTAATAACTTCGACTTTGTCGCCTACCTGTAATTCTGGAAGGTCAGTTCGAAAATACTGTTTATTTATCTCTTGAAGCGTATCCATATAATTCTATTTTTATTATTTTTGTCATAATGTTATCACTAATAACTTGTAGAAGAAACATTATATAAACTATTAAAATGGTCGGAAAGACAGGAATTGAACCTGCAATCCCCTGGTCCCAAACCAGGTGCCTTGCCGTTAGGCCACTTTCCGAAAATCTAACTTACCATTGCGGGTGGTTAATTTATTTTTTAACTATTTTTTCCTCCAAATGATTTTTCAGACTGGCTGCCGAATCCTCGGGCGAGGAATTATCTCGCGGGAAAACAATTAATTGAATACCTTTTTCCTCGCATAGTTTTTTAGTGGCTTCTAAGAGAAATTTTTGGGTTTCAAAATTTTTTAAAAATTCCTCGTCATTATCAGTGGAACGATTTCGACTTTTCAAAGCATTAAGCCAACTCCCTTTATCCACTTCAAAAAAAACCGCAATATCAGCATCCGGCAATACATCCTTATCAATTTCGGCAATTTGTTTCATCACCAAAAAATAGCGGTCGGAAGGAGAAATTAACCAACGCATACAATATTTATCAATGTAATAATATAATAACTTATCATAATAAGTATCAATAAAAACCGTTTCTCCTTTCTCGCTTAATTTTTGGGCTTCTAGCAGCATAGGAACTCGTATGGAACGAAATCACATTAGCATCGAAAAACTGCCATAAGTTTTTCAATCTTTCGCCGCGTCGGCTCATTTTTCTTCTTCGGGTTCAGCAAAATATTTAACCTTTAACAAACTTGCTAATTCCTTAACAATACTTGATTTCCCAGAACCAGGAATACCAACAAAAACTACTAACATTAATTATATTTTATTTCAATACCACTACATCATAACCGATTTTTAAATTACTTTTATTATCTTTATCTTTTTTAATATTCCGAATCGCAATTTTGCCAATTTTGGAAGTATTTTTAACATGAGTGCCACCGCAATTATGAGGCCAAAAAAAATCACCATTTTAATAATTCTAATTACCCCCTTATATTCGGCTTTTATCGGTAGACTTTTTTTCACTAGTTCATTAACTAAATTAACAATCTTTTCCTTACTACTCTGAATATCAGCAGGAATTTCACCACCGAAAGCCACAAAGGCACCCGTTGGGAAAATGGTTGCCTCGCATACTTTTTAAAGTAGGGAAAATTTGCTTAACGGCGTCTTCTAGCAAATGACCGACAGAGTGTAAGCGGGAATAGAAAAGCAGTTTTTCCATATCAATTACTTGGATAACTTTTTGCCCTTTTCGGAAAACCATATTTGATATTTTATTCGCTTGGGCTTATTTCACGCTTCACCTAAATCACTTTGGGATAAATTCTCTAACTTTTTTGAAAATTTGCTTGTTTTTCTTTGTTTAAGGCATTATCTACTTTGCCAAAAAGCCAAATTTGAACCAGTTTTTCATTAATTAAAAGTTCATTAGAGATTAATTCATTGACTTTGCCCGGTAAAAACTCCTTTGAAAAAATTTATCATGAGAAAATAAAATACTTTAAATATGAAATGTTTTCGTTGCCGAAGAAAGATTACAAAAAAAGAAGCATTTTATTGGAATTATGCTCCTATTTGAGGTCATAGTTGAAGTACAAAAAAGTGATGGTTCTACCGAGGGTATTTTTGTCGGTGCTGTAATAAAAGTTTAAGGAACATTAGTACTTTCTTAATGCTCTATTTTGTTACTTTCTTTTCTTTGATTGCCTTACCTTTAATTTTTGCTCTTTTATTTAAATTCTTGTATGGTTTTAATTGTTCGAGGTAGTCTTCCGTTTGTTTTTGGAAAGTGTTTTCTCTTATCTTACTTTGCCTTATGTTCGTATACTCTTGAAAGGAATTATAGGTATATTTTAAGACTTATCACTGCCTAAGAACTGAATTAAAAAAAATGCTGAAAATACGTCCAGAACTCCTAGCACCAAAAAGGAACAAAAAGTCTAATAATTCAAAGGATTTATTTCAATTACTAGGGGGAGTTAGACACTCCCCTTATTTATCTTTTAAAACCTTTTTCAACTCTTCGATCTGCTTTAATAATTTTTCCTTGTCCTCTTTCGGTATATCCTTTCGCAAGACAACTTCCTCCAACTTCTTTATTTTTTCTTCTAATTTAGTCATCTAGTTTCTATATAACGGAACTTCTTGTTGTGCCTCGTACCGCTCCTGAATTTTCTCTATCCATACTTCCAACTGAGCAGTTTTCTTACACTTTTTACAAAGTTTTCGAATCTTACTATTATTTATTCCTCTTTCAAGCAGTCCTTCTCGGGTTGCTTCAATATTTTCTTTGGCGATGCCAATATCATTGCCTCTATTTTCCTCTTGGGAGGAAATTAATTCTCGATATCTTTTGCGTAAGTTCTGAGTTTTCTGTAATTCTATTCCTATTTCAGTAGCAAAAGTTTCCAATTTTTCTCTTTTAGACTTTAACTTTTCGTTCAAAAAGTCCTTTTGACTATCTCCTAAATTCCTTTTCAAGGCTTTTATTTCATCATCTTTTCGCTTTAATTCACTAACTTTTTCGCTACTTTCCAATTTCAATTCGGCTAGACGATTAAGTAAATTATCCGTTTTTTGCTGTTTTTCATCTAGTTTATTTTCTATTCGTACTACTTCTTTTTCTTTATTTTCTAACATTTTCCGAACTTCTACTAATTGCGAAAAGTAGTTTTCGGCTCGGGTTCTTAAACTAGCCACTTCCATTTGGACTCGGACTTGTTGTGAACTTGCACTATTATGTTTAGAAACTAACTGGTTATAATCATTTACTAATTCATTACGACAATCGCAACTTTTTAAAATATCAAATATAACCGATAAATGATTGTATAAATCATCGTGTCTAATTTTGTTAATAGTTTTTACTGTGTAAGTAGTTATTAATTTGTTTAAAAGGGCATCGACTTCATCTTCTCTTACGTACTTACCTAATTTTTCACAAAGAGAAGAATTAGGATTGTTAATTTTACCAATTAATTCATTTACTTTTTCTAGCACTTGAATAATATGAATGCATGCCATAATTTTTTATTTAACTTTTTTCTTTCCTTTATATACTAAAACTAGCCCGCTTATCACTACCACCAACATAACAACGATACTCCCTATTATTAAAATCGTGGAAAGAGATTGAGGAGATTGAGGAGATTGAGGAGATTGAGACTGCAAAAACCTTATTTTCCTTTCCGTTTCTTCCAGTCTAGATTGATTTAATTGAGAAGGATTTTTGGTTTGTTCTTCTCTTTGAAAACTAGCTAACACTTGTAATCGCCTAATTTGTTTTTTCAACTCCTCTCATCTTTCGTTGGTAGGATTATGAGTATACTTATTTCCATCAACGTTAACTTCCTGCTGACCCGAACCTATTTTTTGATTTCTTTTTTTAGTTTCCTCTTTCGTATCAATGTCATCTTGTATTCTCATTTCAACACCAAGAATTTCTTCCACTGTTTTTCCAGAATTATTAACTGCCTTTTTATAATCACGATTCTCTATCTCCAATTCTTCTGCTTTAACATTTCTCTTTTTCAATAAATTTTCTATCCTTTCAATAGCATCGTTCTTAATAGAAACATCTTCCGCAACCGGTTCTTCTTTTTTTCTCTTTCCTACTTCTTGAATAGCACTAATCATTTTCTCACGAAAACTATCTATTTCCTCAAAAGGTAAATTTCTAATTTTTTCTTTTCAATCACTAAAAGGATTTCATAAAATAGAATCTAAATCATTTTCTGATATTTGTATATATTCCACAAATTCCTCAATTACTAGCAAAATACTTAAACTTTGCATTTGTAAAGTTAGCATCTGTTTTTTTAGTTCCTGCTTTTTTGTCTCAGCTTCCGCAAATTCTCGCCTTATTTCATCAGTAGAAGAAGAATATCCACTACTAGAACCCATACTCCCAAAGTCTTCACCATAAATATCATAAAGATTTCGTGTTTCTAGGTCAGAAAGAATTTGATAAGCCTTACTAATCTCCTTAAATTTTTCTTCCGTTTCTTTACTACCTCGATTTTTGTCAGGATGTCATTTTAAACTTAATTTCCGGTAAGCTTTTTTTATTTGCTCTTCAGTTGCATTTTTGTCTATTTCTAGTATTTCATAATAGTTTCTTGTCATAATTTTATATTTTTAGAATCGAGGCGGAACTTCTTGTTGTGTTTGATATTGTTGTTGCTGATATCGACGGAAAAACTCTTGACTTAGTTGTTGGTTATTACCTTCATTTAAAACTCAATAACTATCTACTTGTTTGATATCTCGTAATCAAGCGTAATAGGTAGGTTCCTTAATTGCTCGGTCTTGCTTATTAGCAGGGTTAACATTTATTCAATCGGCACATTCTTCATAGGTAAAGCCGTGTTTTTGTCATTCCTGAACCAATTCTGAGGTGAAATTAGGGTTGATATTTTTTCAGTTTCTTTCCCTACCACTAGAATAATTAATGTTAGTTGGAGATTTTTGCTGTGCCATCGGACTCGACTCAATTCCTAATTCAATACGAATTTCTGCCACTTTTTCACATTTCTTATAAAGTTTCTGAACTTTTTTTATACCAATTCCTTTATTTAATATTTCTTGCTTAATTTTAGTAATATTACGTTCATTAGTAGAAATACCAACCTGATTATGATTTTTACGAGCGGTGATTAAACTCTCGCAATATTCTCGTAATTTATTAATTTGTTCTAAATCAACTTTCAATTCATCAGCAAAATCTTCCATTTTTTCTTCTTTTGCATCTAATCTTTCTTTCAAAAGTTCCTCTTGCGATTGCTCTGCTCGACTTTTTAAGAATTTGATTTCTTTTTCTTTGTTTTTTAATTCATTATCTTTATCTTTGGTTTCAGTTTTATATTTAATTTGTAAGTCAGTTAATGATTCTTGCACTGTTTCTAATCGTTGTTGTTTTCGGTCTAAATTATTTTCTAAATTTAATGTTCGTCCTTCAAAAAATTGAATCCGACCTTTGGTTCAGTCCAAATTTTCTCTAACGACTCGTGCTTCAGTTTGATATGTTGCATTACTAACCAATAAGTCTTGAAAGGCTTGTCTTAATCTTTCTAACGCTTGCTTGTTTTGATTTAACTCATTACTTTTATCTGTTAATTGAACTTCTAACTGTCTAACTTGTCCCTCGCTCAATCCTAATAAACGCTGTAAGTCAGAATTTTCTCTTTTAACAATGGAATTTTCTCTTCTTTCACTTTCTATCAGAGAATTCTGATTATTTATTATTTCTTTATATTCACTTTTTATCCCTTCTATCTGAGCATTAAGATTTTTCCTTTCTTCTCGGTGAGCATCAATTAAATCATTTCTTCTTTTACTTTCACCAACCCCTTTGCTAATTTCGTTAGCATAACAATTACAAGAATTTAACAAATTATCTACTTCATCTATTTTTTCTTCTACTTTCTTTTGTTTAATAATATGATATTTTCTTTCGGTTCAACTTGACCAGTATCTAACAGAAAAAATTCCTTCCTTATTAGTTTTGATACTTGTTGGATCAGCTAATGGACCTATTTCTTCATAAACCAAAGAACTAGAATCTCTCAATTTACCAACCAAATCATTTAATTTTATCCTTGATTGACTAATATGTGTGCATGTCATAATCTTTTTTAATTTTTATTTATTGATTTTTATTTTATAAAATTGTATTATTTCGTTAGATTTTTAATCAGTTTTAACTAACTGAACCAATTGCTTTTGTTTAATATCCTAATGGTGGAATTGGTTAAGAAATCCAAAGGATTGCGAAATTTTATTTTCGCAAATCCAAAAGACTACTAGTAAAACCAATAATCTAATTAAAATATTACTTTGCCCTGTTTTGCTTCCGGTAAAGTTAAAAGTGTGAAGTTTAAATTTTTAATGCCCTTCGGCTAATTCTTGCTATTCTTTTTTGTGCCTAGTGGCACAAGAATAGTTGATATTTGAAATATAGGTGGTTTACCATTATCTTTAATTCTTGGGGGAGAATTAAATAATTAGTTGCACAATAAGTAGTTAATAATAACTTAGA